TCGCAGCAACTGATAAAAATAAACTTTCCATATTAGTAACGCTTGACTTTTCCAAGGCCTTTGACACAATTAGTCATGAAATTTTAATAAGTTTATTACATTATGTTGGCCTAGGCTCGCATGCAAGTACATTGATGGGAAGTTATCTTAAAGATCGTAAGCAACTGGTACTAGTAAATAATACTAAATCTGATGCACTGCCAATTTGCTGTGGGGTCCCACAAGGCTCTATTCTAGGTCCTCTATTATTCACATTATACACCTCCAATTTTTACAAATGTCTACAGCACGCCAAGTTTCATCAATATGCAGATGACACGCAACTTCATTATGACTTTCCCCACGACAACATCGCTCAGGCTATTGAGCACATGAATTGTGATATTTACAGAATTGTTCGTACGTCTGAAGAACATGGATTATACATTAATCCTTCAAAGTCGCTAGCGATGTTGTTTGGAAAAAGCAATATTAGAAGTAGGTATAAGGATGCTGTAGAAATTTATGTTAAGGGCACTGCGTTACATGTTCAAGACAAAGTAAAAAATCTTGGAGTGGTTCTAGATTCTGATCTCAGATTTAAAAAGCACGTATCTGAAATGGTGAGGAAAGCCTACTTAAATTTAAAATTAATATTCAATAATGGGTTCTATCTTAGTAAACACCTTAAAATTATGCTTTGTGAGTCACTGGTTCTATCGCAATTCACTAAATTCACTTATTGTGATACTCTTTATGGATCATGTTTAGATGCTGCTGACAAATACAAGATTCAAAAAAATCAAAATTCATGCATTCGATTAATTTATGGTTTAAGGCGATATGCACATGTCTCCCACAAATTAAATGAACTAAATTGGTTAAATATGGAGAACAGGAGACTTGTGCACGCTGCCTCCTTATACCACAAAATAATTCTGAATAAATCTCCACAGTGTTTGTATGAGAAAATCAATTTCAGTACCAATACCAGGTTTTCGATGCTGATCACTCCGCCGATGCATAAAACGGTATTTTATGAGCGTTCCTATAGTTACAACATTGCCCATCTATACAATTCTCTACCAAATTCATTTAAAAAGCTTAGCCCTAAACAATTTAATTTACATGTCCAACGTTTTATACTTGACCGCCAGATCCGTAACCAATGAACACCTGATTAGGATCATATATGTATAATAACAGTAATTATATTTAATATCATTCTCGCTACGTCCATTCATAATTTTTGTATCGCACTGGTCAACAATAATTTTCATTGTTTAGTTTTTATTATTTACAATTAGAAGCCATGTGTCATCCCTTATAATGTAAGTAATATACTGGGTTAAGTGGAAGAGCAGAGGCAGTGGGTTTCACCACTGTCATCTGAACTTCGCCCAATTTAGTTACACGAAAATATATAATTTTTATTTTAATCTATTATACATTTTGTTGCAAGATGTAACTAATAAAAGACATTATTATTATTATTATTATTAGTTTTTTTTAAATTGCAGCTGATAATTAAAAGTAACAAAATATACAATCCACACGAGGTGCGTCGCCTATCATTGTATTTCAGCACTTTCATGCTACGATAAAAAATGATAAATTCATTGTAAAACACTTCAATTAAAACAGAATTTTTTAACAACCTAACATCAACCCCAATTAGAGAAAGGTGTTAATAATTTATTAATAGTGCAAGAAAATAAATACAACACATACTTATAAATTTCCAACGGGCCATTGGCAGGTGGCAATCGCCACCCGCCCCCTCGGGCCAGTGCGCCCCTGGTTATACACTGCCTTTGTTTGAGCTCCGAAAAAAACATTGTCTCAGATCGCATCGGAAAAAAAATTTTCTTATAGGACGTGGCCTATAGAATCCATAATTTCAAACAATTTCAAGATTGGGCTACTAGTTCAAAAGTTACAGCCCTTTGAATTTTTTTTCGAAATTGGTTTCTAGTCTATAACTTTGGATTGAGAAGTCTGATCGAAAAAGTACGAATTGTTTTGGATTCTACGCACCAAAATTAATAAGAAAAAGTGTTTTTCCGAGAAATTTTGGTGCAGTCGATTTTTGGTAAAAAAGGAAGGTTATACACTGCCTTTTTTTGAGGCCCGAAAAAAAATTGTCTCAGATCGACCCGGAAAACAAATTTTCTTATAGAATGTGGCCTGTAGAATCCATAATTTCAAACAGTTCCAAGATTGGGCTACTAGTTCAAAAGTTACAGCCCTTTGAATTTTTTTTTCGAAATTGGTTTCTAGTCTATAACTTTTGATTGAGAAGTCTGATCGAAAAAGTACGAATTGATTTGGATTCTACGCACCCAAATTAAAAAGAAAAAGTGTTTTCCCGAGAAATTTTGGTGTAGTCGATTTTTGGTAAAAAAGGAAGGTTATACACTGCCTTTTTTTGAGTCCCGAAAAAAAATTGTCTACAGGCCAGGTGGCAATCGCCACCCGCCCCCCCGTGCCAGTCCGCCCCTGGTGAGGAAGACATTAAATTGCAACAGAAAAATTCTCTACTTAAGAAAAGTGGTGTGTACCAAAGGAGTAGTCAGAGCACTAGGTACTGTTTGTTTGTTAGTTAAGCTAAAAATATGCCATATTGTACCGCAAAGGACAGTGCGGTTTACCACGCGCGTTATTATTCTAATTCAACATTCGAGTATATTGATCCGAAGACGTCGAAAAATGCGGGCGAGAAGATCTTAATAGCAAATTTGTGGCGTATCTAGAAATAATTAATGATTAATGTTATCAAATCCTTATGAAAAGTCCAACATTGTATTAATACCACTAACTTATTATCTACGAACGATAAGATATCATCGGCGACCTTGTGTAGTGCCATTCATTTCACAACTACAACCTGGTCTAAAATCAAATTTTTATTCTGAATGTAGTGACGAAAGCACATTATGCATTATGTGACCACGCTGCACGTGCCTCATTTTTTAAGGTAACCCCAACGGGTCCTCCGAGAGTATACCTTCGTGGTCTGGTATTTTAAGGGTGGCCAGTAGAGAAATTGCAAAATTACTCATAAATGTTAAGCTTACAATTGAACTTATACCTACCAGAATGATAATAAATCTGACCACGAATAAAAAAGAATGTATGTTCCTATGATAAAAGTTGTATGTAATTAAATATAGTGGAAATGTCCTTACTACTGCTTGCAACTTAATAATAAAGTATTACAGTTACAATACAATACTCGTTTTGAATAGGGATCGACCGATATGGCATTTTTCGCCGCTACCAATATTGGAAGAGTGCGACTCTGCATGGGCTTCACCCGCTGTGCTGGTCCCTAAGCGCGATGGTACGACTCGTGTTTGCCTAGACTACCGCCGGCATAACGCAATAACCGTTATGGACTACTTATTACACGCCACCAAAGCTCAAGTCATTACCACGTTGGATTTACGCGCCGTTCGACCGCGAAAAAACTGCGTTCATTACACCATTCGAATACAGATTTTTGGACGAATTGGCCCTATCAAAACCATTATTACTGAAGAAAGATAAGGCATGGCAATGGACCGAAGCCCAGGAAACCAAGTTCCACAATCTGATGACTCGATTAACTACCAATCACTCAAGTGGCTGAAAATGTCTATCAAGCCGCGGGCATCCATTGAACATAATGTGAAGATGTCTGTAATGAAAGAGACCTGTAATGAGAGAGATCGGTTTCCAGGCTTCGCCCTGTGTATTTTCTTTAAATTACACTTTAGGTCAAAAGTCTTTGGCAAAAATCATAAACTATAAAACCTATGATTTCATTGAAATCGTCCAAAAGTGTCTTGAAATCCCCCTTATCTAGAAATCCTGAGTACAGACCTGTGAAAAGAATAACTAACCGTATGCTAAGTGCTAAGGAGATTAATAATTGGGAAAAATCAGGAAAATTTACCTAAGCGATATTATACCATGATTTAGTTTCAAACAAAGAATACAAAACTAATAAATACATAAACAAATCATAAACTGAAAAAAACAAACATACCTACTGTTAATGTGCATAATAATAAAAACAAAAAGCATCTGTCAGAGCATTGGGCTACAATAGCCGGAGGTCGGGTGTTCAAACCTGGGCTAAGGTAAGAATTTTTCATCTGTGACAGAGATGGAAACTGTCTTAGATCAGTTTCGAGCATTCTGCCGGCTACTCAGAATTAAGTTTTCGTACAGTTTTCCCAATTCATAAGGTGAATATCAGAGTAGTATAGAACAACGAAAGACTGCAGGGGCACCTCTCAAAAAACATTATGCGGGTCACACTCTAATTGGGCGCAAGCCTGTTGAGGGCCCCGAATAAGAGAGGGATAATAAAATAAATCTACCTAGTGAGAATACATATGGGATGTATCGCTTTCAGACACATACCTAAACAATGGATGTAGACAAAATTGTCTTTATCCCCAAACCTAGCAAAGATGATTACTGTACCGAAAGCATACGGGCCCAATTGTTTAAGATTTCCCCGACGTTGCAGTGGATAAAGGCAGTAGGCAGCATATTTTTTCGGAGGAAGCTTGCTTACAGAGAAAGAAAAGTTTAGTCTCCCGCAAAAGTAAGAAAATTATTTATTACAACGTTCACTAATCTAAAAAACACAATAATAAAAAAACTCATCAAAATTAATTTCATTGTTTTTATTCCTACAGAAAGAAAAAGTCAAAAAATGCAAAAAGTTTCCCCCTCCCCACTTCAATTTCATCCTAAGGAAATTATTTAATTATCAAGACTTGGACACCCTGTACATAGACAGTCCAATGCACTTGCCCCTTTGAATATTTCTGCCGGTTGGGGTTTATAAAGTTTTTAAAATTCCATCTTTCAATGTCGATTGATAAAAAAGAATGTAAAAACTCACAATTAAATTGCTCAGTACAGCATCAATGAAATCGTCATCCACAGCAACAAGCGTTACATAAGCAATGTACCCACTTCACAGGTGGTTGGTTACCAGATAAAAACTAAATTGAAATTCTTACCTTATGGTTATATTTTCGGCGGTCCTTAGGGGCACGAACGACAGCCGGGGTAGTTTGTACATTGACATCGACCTGCTTATGGGGTAGCAAGACCCGCTTTTCGACATTTACTTCTTTGGTAGAATTCACGATACGATTCGCCTGCCACGGATTCGTCGTGGGTAAAGGTGCTTCGACATACACTTTCTTCGACTCGGGTAAAATTTCCTTGTCTTTCTGTGTCTGGGCTGTTGGCGCCGTGTTTGTGGTCTCTCGCTTGTCGGCATTACCATTCACGACAGGTTTATGGGGGTGTGTCTCCTTTAACTTCTCTTTTTTCTTTTCGTGTTTCCTTTCTTTCCGACTGTGATTGACAACCTGCGTAAAACTGTCATCGTCATCGGCCACCTCCGGAAGAGGTTGCTGATTTGGGTGAGCGGTAATTTGTAAGGAACTATTTTTAGGAGCTTTGAGAGACTTCGCTTCTATCGACTCTTCGATGTTTTCCTTGTTGCCACCGTTTTCTTTTTCGCCCTTAAAATTTAAAACTGCATGTGCATAGGAAGATCCTGATGGATCAGTCGAACCCCCATTCGATTTTGGGGTTGTGGTTGCTACAGCAAGATGTGTGGACATATCCAGGCTGTATTGGATGCTTCACGGCCACGAATTGATCTACAACCACTTAATTAGAAGCTGCAAGCAATAATAAAACGAACAATATGGAGAGTGACCATGATCACAAACGCATGGCTCTGCGATCAGACAGGCGAAAGGCGTCTATGAATTGCGTATTTATCAATTAAAATGGCACACAATAAACGAAGCACCTTCTTATCCTCAATATACAGTTTATTTAACATAAAATAACAATAACAAAAAAGTAAAATCGTCAAATTCACTACATGTAACACATGGTTTATCTAAATAGGAAAATCCTGATTGAACAACAACGATCTAGGGAATTTACTCACATGTGATCATTGTTGTTGCCAACATCCGATTCGCCGGCAAAACGGGCTGCGTTCATTAAAAAAAGAAACGGAACACTGCAACACACACGACAGCTATGTATGAATCAAATATTAAAAACCCTAAGGTATTAATTCAGGGTTAGGCCACCGTTAATACGTGTAATGATAATTAAGGCTCATGGCAAAGTATAAGAGTTATTAATTCTCTAGTCTCTAGCTAAAGGGTCGTTATAATTAGAATTCTAGTAAGCAATACCATTCCCCAGTTGTTAAGGTTACCACAATAACCAATTTGCACTTCAAGACACCATCCCTCCGTGTAGCAAAATTGTCACCCGGGCGTACCACATATTCCACATTCAAAAATTTATTGGGTTTTGACAAAAAAATGCTGCTCTGTTTTAATTGTTATATTTAATTTTTTTAAGTGTCATACATAGAATTACCAATTATCTTACCTATTAAATAAAAACGCACCAGAAAAAATAAAATGTTAATGCATTTCATCAAATTTAACAAAAGCACGTTTTGCTAAACCAAAGACCAACATATTAAATAAAAAAAGTTTGTAGTCCCAAGTAAAATAAATACAACCTTTATATGCGCATGAAACCGGAACACAAGCCAAGAAATTAGTTTTGTTAATTTAAATGTATGAATATTTTATCTAATTGAATTACTAACATTAGCAAAATGAAATGTTAAGCAATCTGCCACCAGGATAGCAACTCCTAAGGACTTGCCATTATCAACCACCGTCCACAACTTTCGTGCAGTACCGGAACCTATAATCCACCCCCTGGTAAAAATAAAAACTGGTTATTACCTTTTTATTGATCTACCAACTTGAAATAACAAATTATAAAATACAACTGGTATCCTAAACAATTAAGACAAATGATTATCATCGACTAATTCGTTTTGGGCCTTAACAGGCAAACTGGGCAGTCTTCGCCCTCTGTAAATCGCTGTAATTTCAGTCAGTACGAACTTCGTTAACTGAACAACGAATATGTGAGCGGCGTATTGCAATAGTAAGGCTCCAAAGCCTTTGTACAAGCCAAAAACGCCTTCGGTGGAGAGACAACTTTCAAAACAATCCGTTGGACTGTTGTAGTTTGTCAGTATTGGTATTACAGATCTTCCAGAGTCTAAATTATCAATGATCGTTCTGGTACCCTGCAATGGATATTTCAAAAATTGTGTCGGGAAGAATGTTAGGATCTAGACCGCTATGCACAGCTTCAAATTATGATCATTTTTTAAATATTATGACCACAGACTGAACGCCACTTGAGCACAACCTCCAATTTAAGAACTGGCTACAGCACCCAACCTGAACTAGTCAGCTGTGGGATCATTGCAGTGTGCCACTGTGTTGTATAAAAATGATAAATCATCTTCCCCTAGTTTTTCTTCAAATGACCGTTATTGATATTTGCTCCAAAACAAAAGAAACTGCTTTATATACAAATTCTTCAGTACAGGTTTTTGTCATTGAACTCCTCCCTCCAAATTTTTTTTATGTGTTCTGTGTATCCCAAATGGTTTAGAATCACAATTGGACCCGATCGGATTATTGAATTTTTTTAAAACTTATTTTTTCGTTGATGTCATGTGATCATGTAATTTCAAAACTAAGGAATTACTCTTGAGCAAATGATCAACAATTATTCTTTTTAAACAACAAAAAAATTGTGGTATCAATGCCCTAACAAGTAGTCATTTTTAAATTGCAGGTTGTGGTTATTCTTAGATGTTATGATCAAGATTTATTTAAAATACAGGCGTCTGACATTAAATTAGGGGTGGTTGCCATTGCGCATTGTGGACAGACCCAGAATCTTAGTACCTGTAAATATAATCTGTGAAGGATGGTCTCGAACGGATAAAAGATTAAGTCGGATGCCACAGTGGCGGTAATCGAAGCATTCAACTCGATATCGTGCACCAGACCAACGTTTGTTATATCCTTCGGTAGTGCTTTCGACGGGTAACTCTCTTTCACGCGAACTTGTAATAATCGAAAAGTGCCCGCTTTGACGGCAGATGAAAACAAATAACGGATTATACCGAATGTGATTGTCGGCAGTACCAAGACCCAAACTGGTAACATGCGCCCTTTTGAATTACCGCCCAAGTTAAATAGGCGTATCGTGCCTTCCCTAAATACATCCAGCATTCCTGGTTTTTCACTGGCAATGTCACTTTGCACTGTCTCTACGAGTGACGCACAATAGTATGGCATTATTAGTGAAAAAGTTACTCTAAAACAAAAAAGTAAGCACAGCTGTCCAAGTATGATTCTGTATGCAACCGGAGCGCCATGGCAAAACTCAAATATGTTGTTAGGACTGGCTGACCTGTGTTTGGTGCCAAACTTACTGGCGGAATTTGAATATAAATCCCTGCTACTAGTTACTTCACACAATTTTGTAGCTAGCAGGTACATATAGGCGTAAGTCATTGTTTTAGCGGTGCCAAGGCAGACCTAGAGTTGACAGATGTCATATGTATGCTAATCTAATCTATCATCCCATAATTATAAAAAGTGAGTCCCGTTGGAATCTGTGACATAATCTTTTACTTACATAATTACATTAAATGACCAAATCAAAGCACTGGAGAATTTAGACAATTTAACTAAACAAAGACGACACTAAACATTTCTAAACTGATTTGGAGTTTAAAATCTCGAGATTTTGACATAAAGTATCTCAATAAACTTCTCCACACCATAACTACACGGAGAGAAATATATATTCAATTAGGTTTACTAATTAGATATGTATCTGTGCATGATTTAAAGGTACCTTGTTCAATCCATCGTTTAATGGTTAAGGTTGTTTAATAAGCATATATAAATTGTAAGTTAACCTTTTTTAATACAGCGTTTTTGATCACATTTTTTCGTACAGTTATTAAACCAATGCGATAAAAACCATTAGAAAATATATTTATTACTCCCTACTAAGTTTCATTGTCCATATAAGTATCAAAAAATATTATATGAATCATTACATTTTTAATATCAAATAATAAATATTTCCCTCTGTGTATAGCTTGATAATTTTGGAAGTAAATAGTACAGACGGACAGACAGGAAAACCATTGGTTTTCACAAAGATGGAGAAATGCTTCACCCTTTACCTTTGGTATTGAAACCAATACATTCGATAACCAACCAATTATTAATTAACCTAGACCCTCCTAAAGAAAGACCCCTTTGCAGCAGCGATGATTCAGATGTGGTTCCCACTGTTTCCTTGATCTCTTTCACCTGTTGTCAATAAAGGCCACGTAGTAGATTTAGCGTGACTACTTAAATTGTAAAGAAAACACACAGCGGTTGTTTTCACTGTGAAACACCCCAAATTTACATTTTTGAGATACACCTTTTTTGAAAGATGAGTGACAATTAGTATTTTCTCGCTGTATATGCCGTAGTATTCTCTTGAAAGGGGGGAATGAATTATCCATGATATAATCAATACAGATTGCAACAATATAGTGCAGCCACGATGTTCCGATTGCACACAGAACTCTTATTAACTTACCCTTTCAACAATAGATGCTGAAAAAAGGCCTTCACCGACATTCCTCTGTACATTTCTCTGAAATTACAAAACTTTAACTATTAAGAGACATCTACTATCGTTAAGAAATACTTGGGCCAAGGTGTAACTTTTGAAAGTAAATCTTCAACACCAAGCGTCATGCCACGCACTAACAAAGCAGATCCAAGGCCTTTCCATAATGTCGTTAGTCCTTGATGTCTGTGCAAATGACAGAGAACAGGTACCAAAGTAATCGGTAGCACATGGTATTGCTTAGACTTATTGTGTACCTAAAACCACAGTTAAAATAAGCTCTCATTGCTTGGTTCCTACCTGACACTGTCGGCGTAACACGACAAAAGGGTGACTAAGTAAATTTTCGGCTATTAAACTAACGAGACTAACACTAGTTCCAATAAATTTCTTAAAAGTTGCCTCTGAAAGTAGACAAGATCATTCACCGATCGAAAACTAGAAAGCTACCTTTGTCAGGATCAACGAAGTTGGATACAGGATTGGGATGCTCAAAGTCGATCTCGTCGCCTTCCCCATTTGAGAAATCATTCAAACGGGGCTCATTTATGTCGTACAATACACCCACTTCGTTCGGATACCTCTTCAACCTATGCCTGTCTATTCCAATCATTTTTTACAGGGAGGCTTCTTCAGATAGTGTGCTCCTTTAATAGTTGTCAATTACCTTATAATAACAAATAGTGTTCCATTGTTAAATAATTTACTCCGGAAATATTGAGGTTATAAAATTCCAGTTGACATTTGAAAGCAATACCAACCTTAGAATATTAACATGTTTAAATTAGATGCATTCAACTAACTTGTTTCTACACTATAATATATCTCACATGATTTTTTATATATGTTATATGATATTTACTACCAACATATTTTTCGTAAGAGTTTTAATGTTTTACTTTACACTTGACAGGTTTTTCATATGACTTTAATACAAGAAGTTACGAAACCTATATAACTTCTCTAAATTAAAATGTTCCAAGTTGCAAGATTGGGCTGCTAGTTCAAAAGTTACAGCCCTTTGAATTTTCTTTGGAAATTGGTTTCTAGCCTATAACTTTTGATTGAGAAGTCTGATCGAAAAAGTACGAATTGTTTTGGATTCTACGCACCAAAATTAATAAGAAAAGTGTTTTCCCGAGAAATTTTGGTGCAGTCGATTTTTGGTAAAAAAGGAAGGTTATACACTGCCTTTTTTTGAGGCCCGAATCCATAATTTCAAACAGTTCCAAGATTGGGCTACTAGTTCAAAAGTTACAGCCCTTTGAATTTTCTTTCGAAATTGGTTTCTAGTCTATAACTTTTGATTGAGAAGTCTGATCGAAAGAGTACGAATTGTTTTGGATTCTACGCACCAAAATTAATAAGAAAAAGTGTTTTCCCGAGAAATTTTGGTGCAGTCGATTTTTTGTAGAAAAGGAAGGTGATACACTGCCTTTTTTTGAGGCCCGAATCCATAATTTCAAACAGTTCCAAGATTGGGCTACTAGTTCAAAAGTTACAGCAAGGGAATGCAATCCCGCAGCAAAATCTCAATCCCGGTATTTGCGGGATCGTTAGATGTTAATCCCACGGGAACCCGGTATTTGCGGGATCCCGCAAAATTTTAAATAAATTGGCAAATAAGCAACTTTGTGCGGTTAACTTCTGTATTAAAATAAATCGCTAATTATCACAATAAGTATTCAACAAAAAAGTACCTTCAGGCTAACTTAGAACTCAAAAAATCACCTGTAAAGCACAAATAGGTGAACTTCTAAAGTGCCTCAAAAATCATAGTACATTTTTAACGAAAAAAGTTTAACAATTATTTTAAAAATAATTTCTCCGTTATGCGTCTCATTAACAAAGCAAACAGAGTTGTCCCCTTGGTCGACATTAAGGATGAGTGTACCCTTATTTGAAAGATTACCCCAAACATTTGAAGGGTTAATTACCAATCAAGACACTATTTGACAATGTGTGTCTGAAAACACCACTACAACCAGACAACCAAATACCAATATACTCGTAAATATTTATTGCTCGATTTATTGTTTATGTAATTTATACTAATATACCTATAATCATTGATTATACACACCTATAATCAATGATATAATCAAAAGTTTACTGGTTTACTCAAGTATTTTTCAGATAAGTACAACAGCAAAATGCGAAAAGTAACCAGAAAAGGGCGGGATCACTTGGATATTTAAAATAAGTCATGTCATTTGTCATGCAGAAATAGAAACATCCCTATTCCACGATTTACGTATTATTTCCATATTATTTCCTTATGATTTGTCTTATGACAGCCATAATACCAAAAATAGTATACTGTAAACACAAATCTAAATGCTTGTTACTATCATATGACAAATCACATGAGAAGTATGATAGTGTAAAGGTACCTTTAGGCAAACATACGCCGGCATATAGGCAACACATTATGCGTTGCTTCGTTGCTACATTGTAATGGATGCAATCGACTGTAATCAATTACGATTGTAATCGATTACTTCCTAGCTCTGATTCCGGGACTTCTAAGCTTGGTGATATAAGGGAGGTATGTGGACCCGAGCACACGCCCCCTCTTGTTTCCATCCCTTCCCACTGTCAGCATTACTGCCATCAGGTCTTTGAAACAGAATTCCTATAGTAGTAGTAAAGATGCACGATTGCTGTTGGCCGAGTGATGACCCTTTGTATGTTCAAGGTTCTTGTACCAGGACGCCATCAATATGTTGGCTCATGTATGTACAGGGGATGGCAGATGAATTGGTGCTACTTTTACCATTAATAAAATAGTAATACGGGGCTTACCTACTGAAGTGCAATGGTTGTGGTTTCCCTGAAGGCTTCTCAACTTCAGTTGCATCCTCGGCCTTCATGATTGTTACCTCCTCGCCCTCCACCTGTCTTGCAGAGGAGTTTGAACGTCACAAAAAATAGGATAGTTCCAATATTTTTCAAATTTGTTTATTCAAAATTTCCATTTAGTATTTAATAGTTATAAATTACGACTATTTTGATAAACTCTTATATGGTTCTATATCAGACTTCAAAATATAAATTGAAAAGAAAATTTGATAAAAGTTGAGAATATTTTCATTTCTTATAAGTTATATTTATGTACATTTAACTCACAGTAGGTGAATAATCGCAAAAAATATTTTTGTAGCTCAAGACAGTTACTGAAGGCACTGTACAAACTCATGCTGTCTGTGCAAACAACAGTTTATATTTCGAAGTTAACGCTGTATCACAAAGTGGCAGTGACTGAAAAGTACATTTAAACTTTGCTATCGTTTCACATTATACTAGACACTCATATGACATTCAAACATTATAAAATAAATAACACGTGTTAACTTACAATTTAAAATCTTAACCTTTAAGACAAGTACATTAAATTAATAATTACAAATTCGGGGCAATGATTTGACATTTTTCAATCAATATACATTTAAAGGTCCCGCATCCATCAAACCGGCACTTAACTATGTTACATTACAGAAGGTCATTTACAACTATTGAGATCAAAATACATATTACTTTTAATTTCGCGCCAGTATTTCAAAAATTAACTCCCAAGCACTCTCGACGATTGTTCAATTTACAAAAGGAAAATTCGCTTACACACACTTTAACTATTTTTTTACAAGATCGAAATTTAAACTGATCAAAATATGGCACGCTTACGTTAACTAGAATTCAAATTATTTAAATAGAAACTAAATATTCCACAGTCACCACTAAATCGCAATTTAAATTTCGTATTACCTAAACGTAAACAATACTAAATTAACTTACAAGATGACAGTTGTGTAACAGTTTTGCTGTTAAGATAAACAGGCCGTGGCGCACATTGTGGTTATCAATTATAAAATTACAGGGTGCTCAATCGGTACTTTTTTAAAATATGAAACAAGTACGAAAAAAACTGTGTTTTTGATGTACAACAAACTTTCAAATTTTCTGTCCTTTGATATTGGAAGACAATTTCATTTTGTTAAAATAAGACAGTAACACAATAGAATAAAAAAAAAAGTTGGAAATAAAAGAAATTGCTCACACTTACAACTTCACTCATACGAAAATCCACTTCGCTTATGCATGCAGAGTACACCTTTGAAGTAGAACTAGACACCAAACCTTCAGACTAAAATTAAACGAAACTTTGGGCAGTATTTATGCTTTAGCATATTTTAAAAAATTGCTCTATAGAATGTCACCATGTATGGTAGTGAAAGTGTGAAGCAATTTGTTGTTACGATTCGATCCACAACTTAAACAAGTCAATAAACAATGGTACCAAATTAATTCAAAAGTTGGAGAGAAAAATATTCATTTCAGAAACCAAAAATATGGTCATGGCAGCTACAGATTGTATGAAATCTAGTGCTTATTAAAAGTAAAAAGGCATAATATGTATATTTTACTGCTGTAGTACTCATCAACCAAATTAAACCAAAAAAATTGCACATGCGCCCTATAGGCCTGTTTAAAATAACTCTTAACTGGCACTGCTCAAGTAGAGTTATCTTCGCTAGCAATGAACACATTTTACTTCCGCTCTATAATCATTTGGTTAAAAAAAATTTTTAAATTGTAATGGAAAACATCCAATACGGAACACATTTTACAGAAATATTCAACACACAGCCTTTTATTCTACTAAATTATATTTACAAACCTATACAAGATTAGAACGTATCTACCGAACTCTGTGTTCTGAATTGTACCTTTGTTACAACTGGCAGTGGTAGCTGAGCAACATAGAATCTTCCTACGACATTAAGCGGAAGGATTCGTTTATGGAACTTACCACAGGATGCAACACAAAACTGTCGTATACATCCATAAGTTCCTCCATCCTGTACTCCTCGAGACAAACGAAGCCTTCCAAATTAGACGACTGCTTCCTTGCGCAGTCAAGGCAGTGAACAACGTGGCGCTTCTCTTGCTCACGTATGAACAATATGTTGAACACCTCAATCTGAAATAAACGTATAAGCTAACGCTTACATAGATGCGAAAACACCTACTTCACACTGCCCACAGTAATGGGACGCTTCATTTTTACCTCGTCCGTGAAACTTTACATCTACACCCTTATGCTTCACAAACTCCAAGATCATGGAACACTGTCGTAATGTTCTCAACAAGCACTTCCTGTAACAGAGAAAGTATTAAGGACAATTCCAAAATGGACCAAACTCACTTAATTGACGCAAACAACCTCGGATCGGACACTTTAATATTTCTAGCTAAATTCCACGACAAATGCAGCATGGGAACTATCGACTTGTAACTCTGAAGCTTATTCCACTCGTACCGCTCGATCGCCAACTGATACTGCCTGGCGGTTAACGGACCGACGTTCCACGCTATATTATTACACCATCCCACCGCCTGCACCCAGTGAACGCAGCCAGCATTAACCCAGACGAGATCGCCGGGTCTCTGTAGGAATCTATACACTGGTATGTTCGACTTGTAGAGGTCGTCGAGAACGGGCCACCAGGATCCGTGAAGGTAGTTTATTTGGTTTTTCTCGCATAAGGCACATACGGCACCCCAATACGCGTCAGGTACAGCAAACCATTCACAATCTCCTGGTCCGATGTTAATGTTAATCGAACAGAAGTTATTGTTCTCTTGATGACCGGGCGTTCGACTGCCAGGCACCTGTAAACATGGCGATTGAGATTAGTTGTCATAGGAAAAAAAGTGACGGGGATCATATGGGTTTACAAAAATTGCTTCACTCAAGTCACAGTACACAACTAACTTAAGGGCAATGGTATCAACTACTGCTACCGAAAATACTGAAGCAAACCCAGGTGTTACAGTTACAGTTAAGAAAGGGAGAACAGAGGGACAAATTGAAGTAGTCGAAAAATACGAGGAAATGGAAGTGGACGAGTAGCCTATATAAAACCTTGAACCAGAACCATCAAACTATACTTGCTACTGGCCCAGGTGGCCACTGTAGTTATATAAAAACTAGGTCAAAAGCCCAGTGTCTAATTCTAAGAGCCAATGGCAGGCAACCCGAATGTAAATTATAAAATCTTAAATTTGCTCAGCGAGTCTCTTATACCTACCACCCACGAAATTATTATCGCCATAGCCTTACAATTTATATGCTTCTATAGCTATCAAGAATTTTTAACTTTTGATTTTACCTGTGATACTTCTAAACATTTGTTTAGATAAGTGACTGTGATATTTTTGACGATATGTAACTTGTAAGTACTCCATGTATATTAGCCTGAATATATATTATTATTATTATTATTATTATGCTCATCCTAATAAAGTGGATTGTATAAACATGTTACATGTACAATTATTTTTGTAAATTCTTTTGTTTTATATTTATGTTAAATTGTTGCTTCTAGAAACTTAATTAATTTTTCTTTGTCTTGTATTATTCCCTCATCTTTCAGCAACAGCTCTCTTAGTAGTTGGTTCAGAGAACGTATTTCCATTTTGTGTTTGCAGTACTTCAGCAGCATACGTGTTTCATTTATTTTCATGCAAAATGTATAGCTTCTGTCTGGAACCCCAATCATCGAAATTAATGAAATTTTCATACCTGGTGCATCCAAGTCCTCGCCGGGCTTGCTTAGCGAGACTTAGCAAGAGATTCACTGGGTTAAAATTTCAGATTTTATAATTTACACTCAGGTTGCCTGCCAATAGGTCATTTAGAATACAATCTGACTGAAACTAAGCTTCCATACAATCATCCCAGTTCACCACCCACCAAAGGATACACGAGTAGTGGATCATTGTGTGGTAAAAAGTAGCAAACCATAATAATGATGTACAGGGTGGCCAACTAAGAATGCGAGGTACTGTATCTGAGAATCTATCCATCTTAGAGACTTGCGGTAAAAAAATTTATTACTAAAACGGCCACGAGCAAAACCTGGAAAATATTTTTAAGTTTCTGAAATGACCACTAGGGGGCGTAACTGCAATCTGGATTATAAAAAAGTGGTATTTCTGTGAATTCAGCTATATTAACCTAACAAAAAAATGTCCGGTCTTTGAAGTTGACGATAATCTGAACAGTTTTTTTTGACAATTTTTCCTGTATCTCTAAAAATGAAGTGGTGGGGGGTATTCAAAGGTTTCCGTAAAGAACACCCTTTATCTTCGAAACGGCTGAGCCGATTTAAACAAACTCAGGTTAGTTCAAAAGAGCTATTCTTCAGCTACAAATATTATACTATTTGAAGTTTTGTTAGTTTCACATATCACCGCTTGAGGGCTTTTTTCGACATTCTGACAGAAATGGTTAATTTTCTCAAAAAAATTAAATGCATTGGTTCGATTTTTTTTTTCATGAAAAAGTAGCTAAATGATGCCTAAACAAGTTCGCGAAAACAGCATCTCGATATCTTGAGATATATATATATTTTTATATCGTGAGGGCCAGCATTTGGAGCATTTACGGCGGCATTAAAAGCTTCCTTTTTTAAATCGATCCACCTTAGGGCACAAATTATATAATAAAAATAATTCCGGAAAAATTAGCTTAAAAAAATAAAATTTTGAGGGTATAAAATTTTCTTTGGCCTAAATTTTAGGTTAGGAACAAGATATCGAGATGCGGTTTTCGCGAGCTTGTTTAGGCATCATTTAGCTACTTTTTCATGAAAAAAAAATCAAACCAACGCATTTAATTTTTTTGAGAAAATTAACCATTTCTGTCGGAATGTCGAAAAAAGCCCTCAAGCGGTGATATGTGACACTAACAAAACTTCAAATAGTATAATATTTGTAGCTGAAGGATAGCTCTTTTGAACTAACCCGAGTTTGTTTAAATCGGCTCAGTCGTTTCGAAGATACAGGGTGTTCTTTACGGAAACCTTTGAATACCCCCCACCACTTCATTTTTAGAGATACAGGAAAAATTGTCAAACAAAAAAGGTTCAGATTATCGTCAACTTCAAAGACCGGACATTTTTTTGTTAGGTTAATATAGCGGAATTCACAGAAAAATCACTTTTTTAGATTCCAGATTGCAGTTACGCCCCCTAGCGGTCATTTCAGAAACTTACAAATATTTTCCAGGCTTTTCTCGTGGCCGTTTTAGTAATAAATTTTTTTACTGTAAGCCTCTACGATGGACAGGTTCCCAGATACAGTACCTCGCATTCTTATTTGGCCACCCTGTATTGCAAATGCTTACCACATCATACAAAGAGGAACCAGTAACTATAAGTAAGTCACCATTAGTACCTAATATTTAAAAAAATATATTGTTCAACCCTCATTGGTCGAACTAAAAGAAGAAAGGACAGGAGCGAAGCAATGACACTGGCTGCGTAGGTATTAAGGGACATTTTAAAATTATCCTTTAACAGCAATTTCAAAGTAGGTGTGCATATAGTGAGAGGAAGTGTACGTCTGTGTTGTGGCGTCTTTGGGCCAACGTGAAAAATTGATAGAAAGATAATGTGAAGAGTAAGAACGACCCCTCTCGTACTGCGTATTTATTTTTTATATTCCGACCTTAGTGATGAGCGCCGAGTCATCTTGCATTCACCTACATAACCCAATTACTAAGCAGCTAGTCAGAGCTTGTAGCATAGCGCCCTTCTGCACCTACCTTCATGTAAAGCTGAACAGTGTTCATTCCTAAAATGACATGGCCAACATGTGACAACATATTTCCAGCGGACACCACTCTCGCAAAGGCAGGCAGTTTCATAAGTTCTTGGAGTTGAGGTTTCCATTTACGTTCATCCGATAAATCAACATTAGTTCCAAATCTAAAACAATACATTAGAGGGCCACTTTGCGCAAATAAATTGAAATATACTTGAGCATTTTAGGAGGATTATAATTTTTGATAACGCCGGATTGCGGTAAGGTGGAATTATTCTTGTTTTTCCTTCGCGAAAAATTATTGGAGTCTTTGGAATCGGAATCTGAAAGATTATAGGCGGAACCGAGAGATTTATCACGCTCCTCCTGTAAGAAAGTTGACTATTAACACATTTAAAAATGGCGTGCGTACCTTTAGACTTTCTTTAAAACTGGAAGCTTGGTATTGGGCGTACCTCGCTATCGTTGTATGCGACCGATGCGATATGCACGCCCAAACCTTACGTCCCAACTGTGGATCCCAATTTTCATCCGATGGTTGTTGAATTTGTGTTCTGACCTCGACTGTGTGATCAGGATTCGCCTCCACCAGCGTTTTCGTAGAGAACAAGCCTAGATCTAATTTTAAGGCCGAAGCTAAACCGCGAATGACTGCGATGGGATGCTTCAAGCAAAATTCCTGAAGCTGTGGACTAAACGCGTGCTTTTTATTATCGAGGTAAACAGAGGGTGTGGGCGGCAGTAGTTGTTGGTGGTTTAATTTGTGAGAGGGTGGGTCGGGCGGTGCAGGAGGCGGAGCACAATCGGCTATTAGTGAATTGCTAATTTCACCTTTAACACCTTCGCCTCTGTAAAATTGAACATTTTCACATGTAATTAAAACGCGCCACAACCTACTTGCACATCTCTAGAATCGATTTAGAATTCATTTCAATGGAGTATTCAGAATCAGAGCGTTTTTCATATGAGCCGATCGGATCCAAGTCCCACGGGGGTTCGGATTTTATCGTTAAAATACCGTCCTGCAGTGGAGGTTTCATTTTCAATTTGTATTTTTCAATTTCCATGCTTGTATTTGACGGAGAAAATGGACCACACGATAAATTGTTGCCTGCGTGCGAATAATTAATCAAAAGCATTTGGGCAGTCCACAGTACCTGACACGTCCTCTTCTTTTACTTGATCTATGTCGTCTGACACAAACTGTTTTAAAAGGTTTTCCGCAAACGTAGTTGTCAAATCTTTTTCAGATAGCAAGTGTTGCAACTCCTCTTCGCTAACGTCTAGGTCCGCGGAATTATTATTGGGGAGACCCAAGTCCTTTGTACAATTCGGAACGGGAGCCATCAAAGCGGGTTGTACGAGTTTTTCCACTTTGATAAAACTCGAAGGTTGAGTGGGCGAAAAGCTTTTGATCGCGTCTAGAGAAGACGGCCTGTTAGGAGGTATGACTTGTGGTGAATACTGATGAGGCGTACTATTGTACGACACTATGTTCGAAAGCTGTCGAGGCGAGGCAGTTGTTGGTTGTCTTTGGCTTAACATCTGTTGCTGGTGTTGCTGCATAAGCCTGTATTGATGTTGGAATTGTTGCATAAGCGTCTGTGAAAAGAAAAATGTTTTTATCAAATATTAAGCTCAATTTACATTATACTTTTTTCGTCTAGAAACCTTGACTAGAACTTGTGCTAGATTCGACACTATACTAGAAATTTAAATTTACCGCTTTTTGATGCATTGACTTTTTGTGTTTCAATGGCAGTGCTGCCAATTTCGGAAAACAAATCTCAATATTGTACATTTTGAGGTTAATTTAAATTGCTAGGAAACAAACATGAATAACAAGCAAAAGAAACTCATTTTTGCTATGTACATGTACCTAATTCAAGAGACTTATATTTGAGGTTATGTTCAAGAGTATAAAAATAAAGTTGTTGGTAGCACGGAATTTGTTCTAATTTGGTGCTAGTGCGCAAGTCACAAGTATGAAAGTTGGATGGAAAATGGGTCTGGACCTAGTTTCAGATCTAGTTTCTAGATTAGAAACTTGGACGGAATTTTCTGATTTACATTGTCAAAATTTTAACAAGTTCATCTAGTACAAGTTCTAGTCAAAGTTTCTAGACGAAAAAAGTATAATGTAAATTGAGGACATCCCACTATGTAATATGAAGATACCAGAAAAATTTAATGATAAATTGAGAGAAAACCTTGGTCAACAGTTTAAAACGAGTCAACTTACCTGTTGCGCAGGCGTCAAGGTGGATATATTTTGCTGAAAGAAATTCAATAACTGAAGTTGTTGCTGTGTTAAATAAAAGGAAGGTTGTTGCTGCGGCGGCTGAGGTGTAGCTGGCAGCTTTTGTTCGCCATTCTCACTTTTAAATCGTTTATTCGGTGGCCCGGGTGATGGATACGGAGGTGGGGGGCCCTGAGGTCCGTTTTGCGTGAAAGAGGTTTTCAGGTAGGTTTGCGTAATCGGCCGAGGCTGCTGCGTTCCGCTTTGCTGTTGCTGTTGTTGGCGAGAGGACATTTCTGCTGATATCGGTAGATTCCAGGCCTCTTCAATGGAGAGTAACTGCTTTCTTCTAAAATGACGACGATGGAATTATAAATATTTAATTGTCACGTTGGATACTTACTGACTAGTGGCGCTCGGCATTGGGGCATTTGCTAGATGTGTTTGAAGGAAGGTAATTCTTTGGGTGAGACGAGGGTTCATTCCCATAGAAGGAAGAGGTTGACGGGCAGTTTTTGAAGGTATGTACGATTCTAGAGAAATTTCTAATAAATTCTGATTCGACAGACCGTTATTAGAGTTTAGGTAGCAAGCGTAGGCGTCGCGGGCTTGTCCACAACTTTCATATAAAATCCCTAAATTAGCCCAGGCAGCGGAGTGACACTTATCCAATTGCACAGCACATATGTACGCTTGTAAAGCATCCATAGGCTGACTCTGCTGCTGGTAGAGTACTCTACAATAATAGAAGATAGTAAATAAGTCAAAAGCGGTCACATTCAAGAAACAAACGTCTAATCTTGTCCCAATGAAGATTTAAATGTTAGTTTCTTGGACGGAAGCATTACTGTTAGCTTCTTACCCAATGGAGCACCATGTATCTGCGTTGCCTTCAGATTTTTCTACAGAATTTCTGTAGGCAATAAAGGCATCGTGAACTTTACCAATACTAGCATAACAACGACCTAGTAAATAAAGCGTTTGCCCTGAGTGTGGTTCAGCTTCTATTGCTCTTTGAAGGCAGTGGATAGCTAATGGTATGCGATGATTTTTGTCACCGAGAATATCATGACAGTGATAAAGCCATCCTAAAAAGGGAAAAATTCATTACAAGACTACCATAGAAAAACGTTCACAAAATCAAACAGCGCTCTCAAATGCAACATACCAACTAATTAAATTTGTTAGTAAAAGTGGTTAATAACATCACGTATAAACGACAAGTTTTCTTTCTTTAAAACTAAATGAAAATTGTATGTTGAACAAAACGATGATTAAGCCTAATAGTGGTAGCAAGATTTCCCTTGACGTTCCAATGGACCACACAGCAATCCGTCGCTAAGTCAAAAGTGGTTAAACAGCTGCAGATGGACTAAATCCTCTGCTAAAAGGAAAGGTTAGTATTTTTTAACCTTTTCGCTGCTGCACCCGTATATTTGCGTGATTGAAAGGTGCAACCTGTGTGCGTTACCCGTATACACTGTGTCATAGAGATCTCCGAAACCATAGAACATACAACGATGGTCAAACTAGGGAAAAGTTGCGCAAATAATCATTTACTATCATGCTGTAAAGTGTAAAGGGAACCAAAATAACACAAATTTGCCGTTTTTGTTTTTAAGACATATTCATAACCTTTAGGGTAATTATAATCAAGCAAATTTAATAAGAATAGCATCACGCATATCGTTACAGAAAGTATTGATATTCAGGGTTAGGTGGAAGAGCAGGGCGCGATATCTATCGTCGACTGAACCTCGCCCAGCTATATTAAACTTATAGTTATTTGATGTATCGGTTAAGAGCATTACAGACAATTATTATTATTATTATTATTATTGTTGTAACCGAAATTTTCTGGTTTTCTTTAAAGCATGATAATAACTCTTTAATTGCGTATCTTTTCTCTGATTTAACCCATCGTCGTCTATGGTTTTGGAGGTCCCTATCCATATCTTGTACAGAGTAGCAAGATTCACAAATTCACACTGTGCGCATCTGCTGTAGCGTAGGCGGTACAAATTTTTTCGCTGTATTTTGTGACAAAAGCATGAAACTCGGTACACGTGTTCATTAGGTCCAAATAAAACTTTTGACCCGCAGCACCCACCGAAATTTTCGTGTGGGTTCAAAATTTGAACACTTTTGTTCAAAAGGGTGTTCAAAGTTTTAAACCTGTAAAAAATGACGAATTTCGGCATTCTAGGGGTCGTTTTTGAATGATTTATGGTCGCTGGTGCCAATGGCGGCATTAAAAAAGTTGCATATCTGACCCTTAGGCCCCAAATTTGGATTATTTTCAAAATAATGGTTAAATTTTGAATTTGATAGTTTTAACCCTGCATGATGTTTCGGATGTCGATTCCAGTTAGTTTGGACGTGCACTACACGCTAGAAATGTTATATTGAAGTTAAAACAGTTTCTGGTGTGTAAATAGGCCGTTAATCGTTCATAAATTTCTTCAAAATTTGGAAATTCCATACTTGAAGGATTTTACCGTTTTTGGTGTCGTTTCCATATAATTTGTGGTTGCTGATGCTGATTTTGTATTCAAAAAAAGATGCGACTCATAGTTAGGCCCGTTTCAAACTATTTTACCTATTAAGAGGGAATGTTCGGCGCAGTCATACGCTTGTTGGCCCGGATTGCAACAACTATTGAATGACAAAGAAAGACGAAAGATACTGGCATTTCATTAAGATTCGGAAGTGGGCATGTTCTCTGACGGGGTATGCCGCTTATACTTATTGCCCTCCCGTCATCGCTTGTTGGGAAATGTCTACTTCCAATCAGTCTTGAGCTCACTCCACGACAAGTAACATCTCGCAGCGAGCTAGTTCCGTCCGACTCGTATCCCTTGAAGCAAGAGTGTCGCCAGCTATGGCCCAGAGAGGAGGGGCAAGTTGACATATGAAGGATAAAAAAATTATTAATTGTAGGTATAGTGCAGAGCACATAAAGTTTTACTCTTGTAACTGTCTTACCTCTACAACCACAATAATTGTAATAAGGAATTATCGCCCAAGAAAACCAGGACACTTTGGTTTTTGGACTGGTTGCTTTGCATTTTGCTACTTTTTTAAATCTCTAGTGGAGGGCATCAGCCCTCCCCTCTGGCTACGCCCTTGTCTTAAAGTCAGGATATCGCAACGATACCGTGAAACGCGATGGATCGCGACGCAGTGCCTGGGGGTGCCCTGAACTCTACGCGCATATTGATAGACCGTTACCACCATGACCAATCAGAAGCTGGTTCTGGTCGCCAGCCTTCGAGAGCCTCTTCAGCACATCAATACACTGGTAGAAGACTGAACTTTTAGTAAAAGTTTATCAAATTTAGCCCCATGGAACTTCGATGCACAGACTTTGTGCCACTTTGCTTTGTTCTGAATAAAAGCAGCTTTAATCCCCTTCCCTTCGTTGAGTTGATGCACCAGATAACCGGCCTCTAGCATGTATGCATAGGGTAGTAACTGCTCCAAGTTCGTACCAAGAGATATATACCTCGTGTTATTCTTCGCAAGCACTGGATTACTGGCAGAACACACAAGTTTTTTGTTGAATTGCTCTGCCATAACCAACACACTTGCCAGTTCACCGTCAGCGCACCGCTGACCAGTGAGACTAGCGCCGCCAGAACCGCAGCTTCTGGCTGGTCAGGTCATGGTGGTAACGGTCTCTCAATATGCGCGCAGAGTTCCTACAGCGACACGCGCAGGGCCTAAAACGCCTGTGACTCGCGGCCTAATCGTACCGTCCGCCGTCTGAGATACTTTGGGGGCTGCCTCGGCGACTTCAGGGCACGCGTTTCACGGTATCGTTGCGATATCCACATTTCCAGGGGCACGAGTCGGACGGAACTATAAAAAAAAATAGCTCGCTGAGAGGTGTTACTTGTCGTGGAGTGAGCTCAAGACTGACTGGAAGTTCAGATTTCCCAACAAGCGATGACGGGAGGGCAATAATGGAAGCATAGGCGGCATACCCCGTCAAAGAACATGCCCACTTCCGAATCTTAATGAAATACTCGTCTCTTTCGTCTTTCTTTGTCATTCAATAGTTGTTGCAATCCGGGGCAACAAGGGTATGACTGCGCCGAACATTCCCTCTTAATAGGTAAAATAATATGAAAAGGGCCTAACTATGAGTAGCATCTGTTTTTTGAATACAACATCAGCATCAGCAGCTACAAATTATATGGAAACGACACCAAGAACGGCAAAATCCTTGCAAGTACGGAATTTCCAAATTTTGAAGAAATTTATGAACGATTAACGGCCTATTTACACACCAGAAACTGTTTTAACTTCAATATAACATTTCTAGCGTGTAGTGCACGTCCAAATTAGCTGGAATCCACATCTGAAACATCACGCAGGGTTAAAACTATCAAATTCAAAATTTAACCATTATTTTGAAAATAATCCAAATTTGGGGCCTAAGGGTCAGATATACAACTTTTTTAGTGCCGGCATTGGCACGCGAGATCCTAAATCATTCAAAAACGACCCCTAGAACACCGAAATTCGTCAATTTTTACAGGTTTAAAACCTTGAACAAAAGTGTTCAAATTTTGAACCCACACGAAAATTTCGGTGGGTGATGCGGGCCAAAAGTTTTATTTGGACCTAATGAACACGTGTACAGAGTTTCATGCTTTTGTCACAAAGTGCAACGTTTACCTCGATATTCAGTTGTACCGCCTACGCTACTGAGAAAGTAATCATTTAGCTTTCTTTTGAATATAATCACGATACAATTTGATCAGTTGTGAGCACAAATTCAGTAGCACGTGTTTTGGTGTAAAATAATACAGCACAGGAATCCTTCAACCAAAGTAAAAACTCCACAGCGAAAAGGTTAAATCAAATTTCCCTTTCCCTAAAAGGTCGATGTGTTGTATAAAGTTGGCGATCGGGCTCAAATCCCATGGGTTTAGTTTTCCTAGGCAAGAAAGAGGTTGATAAAATAAAGCCGCTAGTACAGTTGAATCTTATAGTATTGGTATCACTCCTAAAAACCGCGAAGTAAAGCAGGACGGATCTAGAAATGATTCATCGTTCCGGGTGTAATCCTTTCAGATTTAGACCTACTTTTTGTACTTCAAAATTTGTAAAGCGTTATATGTCCAACCAATTTTAAAAATCCAAACCCAATCAGAAAATTGAACAGTATGCCCCCATACCTCTTAAAAGCCACAGGTACGCACACCAAAACTTTTGAGGCCAATCGAAAGTTTTATAGAGCTTTATAGCGTCATTCCAGGCGCGTGTAGACCTATTTTCAGAGCTTACCAAGCGTTTTCCAGAATGGCCCATTGCAATAAACGGTCGACAAACTTTAAACGGCTCTAGAGCACATTTGAACCTTTGTTCAAAAAACAAGGTGTCTGAACTGTGTGGGCGCTTTTCGGAGTACTATAGGTGCCCGGAGCTTTCTACATCCTCTTGAGAATCTTTTACAGAACTTGTTCAGAGCTTTCTGGGATGTTTCTAGAGCCATAGTGTTCCTAAAGACCATTTGAGTTCTGGAAAACGTTAAAAGACTAAAGGAAATCCTTTGAAACTCTTTATAAAGCAATTGAAGGCTCATTTCAGGAGTCCTTCTCAAGCTTACCACAGTATTTCCTTTTCCTAAGTCTTCAAGTGCTATGCGAGAATGTCTTCATCTTCTCTTTCAAAATAGTTCTAAGAACTTCAAGGCTTATGTTCCTTCCCAAATGTTCTAGACCCTTCCCAAACTCTTTTTGGCTCATTTTCAGCGTCTTCTACGCTTATCTAAAAAATGCACTTAACACTAACGTGTCTCTAAAAAACTTTTGAAATGTTCTGGAAAGCGCTAAAAAGTCTCTGAAAAACCTGGAAAGGCTTCTTCTAAAGCGTTATAGCGAAACTGTTTTGGTGAAACTAAGAGAGGCAGAGAACTATGTAGAATATGTTAAGAGGATTGAATAGAGATGTGGAAGCGAAGGTGCACAGTATCAGTCGCACTGGGGTTTCTGTGGAAGGTGGCGAGGAAAACGCTAAGCAGATGAAAATTTTCAAAAAACATCAAAATGAGTCAATTTCTGATCTTTGCAAACAAATTAAATTTTGCAACTTGGCTCTTGCTTTTTTTAAGGGAAATTAAAATTTTTGTATTTGGTCTCCTTGTGACAAAAGACAATTTAGGCATTTTTCTTAATTTAAAACAATTGGAACTACCTTACGAAGCAGATAGTAAAACGACTCCAGACAACTTTATTAATCAACCAATTTCCGACACTCTTTTATGGATTAAGAAGAGATACTGTCTTTATCACTTACACAAACCTTTCAGTTAAACGAAAACTATTAAAGCAGGCAAATGGGACTTACCTAATTGGCGAAAGATGTCGGACCGCAATGAGGTACCGATACCTTTATCCCTCAATAATAATTCGTATTTTTCTTTCGCGCCCTTTATTTTACCTTGTACTTCTAAGACGTGCGCAATATGAAACTTAACTGAAACAAGCAAATTAAGAAAAAGAAATGCGATTAATGTACCAAAAAACCTACTGTTACTCTGTGATGCTGTGCAGGGACTACTGTCGGTTAGAGCGAGCTGGAAGTGTTTTAAAGACGACTCATACTCCTGGGTAACTTTGAACATCAATCCCAAACGTAAATGGACTTCATTGGCCTTTTGGAATCCGGGTGAAACGTACAAAAGCTGTTGGAACGCTTTAACTGACCTGCAACAAAGAACAACTCATCAAAAACCGCTTACTTTGAGGTATTGCGACAGTTACAGGAGCGTTTTTGTTTAAAAAAAGCGCTTCCCCTCTTCGCCTCAAGACGTTATCAATCGATCGTTTGTAACTATTAGTTGCAATCAAGGTGTCATTGATTTAAATATTTACGTAATGAGACAGCCGTGTAAACAGACCTCGCTAGTATTTCAAAGTTATTAATTTAAGATAAACAATTATTAATATCGATATATCGCATTTCATTCGTGATAATATACGTAACGGAAACGGGCTATCGTGGGCATTGAAGGCAGACATCCTTCTCTGATAGTTATTTCTCATAGGACGATTGGCATGGTATTCGGAAAAAATGACGCGGAGGTTTAGGCGGTCAGAGGAATCGAACCCCCATATAGAATGTTGACATTTCACGTGTCAAGTACGCCCACCAAGGCCCTTTCCAGGTTGTATGTTTTAAAGCTATTCCCGCAACGTAACAACATCCCCATGGTTTTTCTCACTCGCCGCGTCCCATTTATCGACCACAAACTGTGTCCCGGCTGAAACGTCCCCGAAAAATTTCTAGCTGTAAAACCTTAAACATCCCACCTCTTCGCCACCCACCTGCGTCAGATACGAAAAAAAGTACAACACGATATTTTCCTAATTCATATCTATAAATCGACAATTTTCTGCCAATTCACCGCTGCTACAACCACAAACAAAAAGTCCTCCTAATTAGAATCTTCAAATGAAAATTTTTGGACCTTTTAAAGATGATTCAGGAGTCTCCGCAACCCACTTCTTCGCCACAAAATTTGCTGTGGCACATTCTGCCTTTGCAGCTCGTCCTTTTATGCATAATAATAATTGTGTAACAAATTGGTTCAAACCAGTTCAGCCGTTTAGTCGGAAATGAGAGTTTGGCACACTTGCTTCCTTTAATGGCATATGCCAATATGTGTGCCAAATTTGGTTCCAATCGGATCAGCCGTTTAGCCGGAAATGAGAGTATGGACAGACATCATCGAGTCTTGTTCGATTCGAATGGTGCCTCAAAACGTGTATTTTTGTCAAAAAGCGGAGGGGGGGTCATTTTTTATCCCAATGCAATATCCTTATTAACGTGTGAATTAGGAGAAGCTTTTGCATTGTTAATTTTTCATGCGTTTTTTAATGTTTCGAGCTTCTGGAATTTGTTCGAATTATTTTATTAAGTTTGTCGAATTAGGCTAATTATGCGTTTGTGCGTCACGGCCTTTAAATACCGTGGTAAATGTACTCAAGACGGAATTTTTCTTATGTACGAGATTAATTCGAATAATTGATAATGAGATATCAAAATTTGTAGGAGATGGCTATACTCCAAGAATAAAAAATTAGTCGTTGCACCCGTGCGAGTTGCCGACGAATATTTTTCACACGTGACTTTCTATTTGGATACTTCAGCGCAAAACCAATTTTTAACAGCGCGATAATTCGCTTTTTCATGGCAAATAACCCTCAAGCAGACGGAAAGGGTGGAATCCCGGCAGGTCTTTCCATTACAATGAAGAATTTTCAGAGCAATAGTACGTCCTTCAGTAAAAAAAAAGCCCGGTACGTAGATGGAGGGACGGGTGGACGGACGGGATGGAACTAGAATGCTACTCCGCTATTGGATTGATTTTAATTTAATTGTAAGTAATGGAAATCGATTTTTAATACTGCAAGACAAAAACCGAATGCAATCCTTTCATTTACCCTACACTGCTACACCCTTCATATTATAAAACGTAATCCACCCCAACCCTCCAATGGTGCAACTTTGACCTGACGGTGTAGTTTTTTCATTACGCGTGGTTTATAATAAAAACAGATTGCTGAAATTGAGAAACAATTTATTCAAATTCCTTAATGTTCAATACACCCCGAGGGGTTAGTCAGTGTGGTAATCTTTCGTACGCATGACTGGTAGTCACTGGTATCCCCGTGGTAGTCTCTGGTATTTCTGTGGTAGTCTATGGTAGTCACTGGTATTCTCTGGTATTCCCGTGGTAGTCAATGGTAATCTCTGGTATTCCTATGGTAGTCAGTGGTAATCGATGGTTTTCTGGTGGTAGTCTTTGGTATTCCTATGAGCATTTACTAACTTTTTTATTATTTTCCATTTTGCTTGTATGTAGGTATTTCCGGCATAAACTATGGTTTTTGTGATTTTGCCTATCGAATCGCATACTTTTTAAATTAATTCGATTGATTGTTGCAGTGCTGGTTATTGAAGGTGACGATTCAGTTTTAAAGATGATAGCGATTCAATCAGTAATAATGTATTTGTGTTGTGTGTTTAAAAACATGCCTAGGTCGAGGCCAGGGTTTCCATGATAATCACATATATCTTAGATCTGGATCTAGACCCTTTTTAGAAGATGATCTTGTATCTAGATCTAGATTATATTATAATAGATCTTCCACTAGTAGATCCAAAGATCAATTTTAATTATTTATGTTATAAATGTTTTTAACATTGGAGGAGTAAATCGTTTCTATATTTAAAGAATAAAATACTGTGTTCCATTCAAGTTTTTGGGATTTAGTGGGAATAGTCATTAGCACAACGGGTAGTTTAGCTTAGGGGGTAGTATCGGTAATTGTTTACAGTACAGGGTGGGTCAGCGATTGCAAGCAGTATATTGTCAAAATTATTACTTAAATTTTGATTCCAGGTTTTATAGCTTTTATTCCGGGTTAAGTAAAAGTCAAATAAATACATCTATGAAACAAAAAATATAGCTTACAGGGTGTTTTTTTTGGTAGGTCCAAAGTTGCAAAACTTCATATTAAAAAATCTCACTTTTTTAACAGGAACGCCCTGTATATTTTTCTGTCATCATTTAGATCCTCCAAAAACCTTCAATTTTTGATAATAATGTGCAATACCTATCTGATAGTTTTCGAAATATCTTGGTTTTCCTGGGTTTTATATTCTAATCTTAAATACGTTATATGTAATTTACATAATAGTGAGGTGGACATGCAAAAAAAGGCAATTTTTATCTATCTCGTCCAAAACGAAAATCATATCGATTAATTTATTTTTCAAATAATTTATTTTAAGTCCAAAAACTGGAGAATAAGTAAAAACATTTGACTATAAAGCAAATTTAACTTAACTCCTAATGTCATCCAGTCAGTGATATTAGTAATTTTTTGTCATATTCACCTCGTTATTATGTAAATTAGAACTTATTTCAGATTAAAATATAAAAAGTAGAAAAACCAAGATATTTGTTTATGTTTTTACTATCAAATTTATTCTCTAGTTTATATAGACTTAAACGAATTATTAGAAAAATGCATTAATAATAATAAAAAATATGATTTTAGCTTTGAAAGAGGCAGATAAAAATTGCGTTTTTTTTGCATGGTCACCTCACTATTATGTAAATTACATATAACTTATTTAAGATTAGAATATAAAACCCAGCAAAACCAAGATATTTCGAAAACTATCAGAGATAGGTATAGGACATTATTATCAAGAGTTTAAGGTTTTTGGAGGAGCGAAATGATGACAGAAAAATATACAGGGTGTTCCATTTAAAAAAAGTGAGATTTTTGAATATGAAGTTTTGTAACTTTGGATCTAGAAAAAAAACACCCTGTAAGCTATTTTTTTAATGTTTTATAGTAGATGTATTTATTTGACTTTTACTTAACCCAGGATAAAAGATATAAAACCTGGAATCAAAATTTAAGTAATAATTTTGACAATATACTGACGCTTGTAAATGCCCAATTTTTCTTACAAATCTAATTATCTTTAAAACTATTAGTTTTTCGGATATTAACCATATAATAAAAAAGACGTACAATTACACGTAGAATTCAAAAATGCATTCAAATACAGGGTTCTATTTAAAAAAATGTACCATTTGGGCGCCCTACTTTGTGGGCGCATCTTATATAATTCGAAGTGGAGAATATTCAACCACATCATAATACAAAAGCGCTCTATCGAAAAGTCTTGTCTTCAAGGCATTAAGTTACTCCGCGCAATCGTTGACTCACCCCTCGACTCACCCTGTACAACTGATTCATGGGCATGCCGCCGCCAGGTCTACCCGAATTTTCCGAAAAACACGTTATTGTTATGTAGGTAAGCACACCACTTTGCCTTAAGTAGTAATTCAGATGTTAGGCGATTATTATAATTTTCAAAGAAGGACTTTTTCGCATCATTTTTCTTGCTGTTTTGCGAATTTTGCATAGATAAAAGTAAAACCTGAAGGGGTTACACAGAATCAGATAAGTACCTAAGCGTTTTCCGAATAATGAATCAAATCCACCCGTGTAAATCAGATTTACCTATGGAGGATCTATAAAGATCTAGATCATTTTAGGACGATCTTGATCTAGGTGCGGATCTTTGATCTGGATCTAGATCTAGAATTAAAGGATCTTGCCCAACATCGGCCAGATACAACTCCTTATCTCGCTGCCATCTGTGTGGTAGTCTGGAGTAGTCACTGGTATTCATGTGGTAGTCACTGGTATTCATATGGTAGTCTCTGATATTCATTGGTAGTCTCTGGTATTCATGGGGTAGTCTCTTGTAGTCACTGGAGGTCCTATGGTAGTCTGTGGTAGTCTTTGGCAACTGGTAGTCTTTCGTACAACATTTTGCTCATGTATTACCTCCTCGATACACCCCTAACCGTGAATTGAACAACTTCTTCTTTGCACTATTAAAATATGGACAAATCGGAATCCTACTTTTCTCTCATAAAACATAATTTCTAATAATAATCGATTTTTAGCGCATTTTTCACCGTTCATCATTTTAAACTTTTTACCATTTAATGTGCACACTAGACGCTTGTATTTTGGTCCTTGATTCAAAGCTTGCTCGGTTTTAGCGATCATTCAGAGACCCAAAATCCTAAACTAAACCCCAATTTAATTGATGTAATTTATTAAATCGTTTATTAAATCATGGTATTCTCTCCTCTCTTTAGAAACTG